AGTCGTCTCAAGGCACTTCACATAACGTTCCAATTCAGGTCAGTTCATTAAGCCAATCAGAAATAATGTTTCCTATATAAGGAACCCAGCAAATTGCATCAAATCAAATCAATCAAATTGCATACAGCAATCCTCATACTAAGCAAGCATGTAGCAACAGTGGAGAGGAAAACTCCCTTTTAACAGGAAGAAACCTCCAGAGAATCCTGGCTCAGTATAAGCAGCCATCCTCCACGACTCACTGGGGATGGAGAAGACAGAGCAGGCACACACACACACACACACACACACACACACACACACACACACACACACACACACACACACACACACACACACACACACACACGCACACACACACACACACACACACACACACACACACACACACGCACACGCACACACACACACACACCAACATCAAGGAAAGCAAAAAGTTATTATCAGGAGAGGGAGAATGTTTAAGTGGTTAGCAGCAGTGTGCTAGACCAGTGTTTCCTAACCTGGGGGTCCCGACCCCCACAAGGGGGCGCCACAGCCTCTCAGTGGGTCGCCAGGACCTCTCCACTCTAAGGGGTTAAAACTTCATTTATTGCTTGTTTATAGCCTACATTTTGCTCACATATTTTTTTTCATGAGTGAAAAGTTTACTGATATTAAGACAGGAAATAATTAGTACAGAAAAAGTAACACACTTTTAAGAACATTTTGCTCAGCTCACTGTTTTATTTTCAAGTGTCAAAAGTTCATTAAAGATGGGACTGGTTGATTAATCACAGCCTTTACAGTAAATAATCTAGTATAAACAGTAATATACACATTTAAGTACATTTTGCTCAGTCTATTTTTTATGTGTCAAACGTTTATTGAAAGGAATGATTGATTTATCAGTGTTTACAAGAAACAATGTGTTCAGAAAAGTAATACAAACTGTCAAGCACATTATGCTCTGTTTGGTTTTGTAAATGACTTTGTTCTGTACTGGAGCCTACTATTACTGTTATCTATTGAATCAAAGCATATTAAAATGTGCTTGAACAATTTTATAATTTCTTAATAATGTTTGTACTGGAAGAGAGAATGGGAGGGGGTCGTCCAAAATTTTACTGGTAAAAAACGGGGTCCCTTGGGAAAAAGGTTGGGAACCACTGTGCTAGACGATGGCCCCCTCCATGAGGCCACCACAGCTCAGCAGAACATCGTTGTAGCTTCTTCTGGGGAGAAAAACACTTACAGAGAAAATAAAGTTAACAGCTGGAATTGCAGAAAATAGTACAGTTAAAGAGCAGACTGTAGAATAAAGCAGTAGAGTGTGGAAAGTGGTCAGTGTATCCTCCAGCAGTCTAAGCCTATAGCAGCATAACTACAGAGATAACTCTGGACAATCTATCCTATTTAGATGGAGGCATGTTGGAGTCAGGGCAAGGGAGAGCCGTTTTTACCGACTGTACACTCCATCTCCCTGTACTCCCCCACTTGTCCAGATCTAGGCTAACATCCGATTTTAACCATAGGCCCTATCAAATAAAAATGTTTTAAGCCTAGTCTTAAAAGTAGACAAGGTGTCTGCCTCACGGACTAAAGCTGGGAGCTGGTTCCACAGGAGAGGAGCCTGATAACTAAAAGATCTGCTTCCCATCCTAATTTTAGATATTCTGGGAACCACCAGTAGACCTGCAGTCTGAGAGCGAAGTGCTCGGTTAGGAACATATGGAACAATCAGATCACTGATGTATGATGGAGATTGATTATTAAGAGCTTTATATGTGAGAAGGAGGATCTTAAAATCTATTCTGAATGTAACAGGTAGCCAGTGTCGCGAAGCTAAGACAGGAGAGATATGATCTCTCTTTTTAATTCTCATCAGAACTCTAGCTGCAGCATTTTGGACAAGCTGAAGACTTTTAACTACATTCAAATCAAATCAAATCACTTTATTGTCACGTCACATGTGCAGGTACACTGGTACAGTACATGCGAGTGAAATTCTTGTGTGCGAGTTTCACAGCAACAGAGTCATGCAAAAATACAGTAATGTAAAAACAAGTAAAATATAAAAATGGCTAATCTAAGTAATAATATGTATAAGTTGTAATGTATATACATTACTAAATGTTTATGCAAGTATATTATTATTATTTTTTATATATTGTTCTACGTGTGTGCGTGTGAGTGTGTGAGTGTGTGTATAGTGTGTACATACATGTTTTACAAATGAATAAAGTAAACAATAAGATAAGAGATATAAAATGTACAGAGGTTGGTATGTGCAAAACAGTGGCATTAATGTACAGTATGGAGTGTGTAATGTTGGAGTTTCAGTAGTGAGGGTGAGGTGTCTGTGAAGTGTTCAGCAGTCTGATGGCCTGATGGAAAAAGCTGTCACAGTCTGCTGGTTCTGGACCGGATGCTGCAGAACCTCCTTTCTGATGGAAGTAGTCTGAACAGTTTATGGCTGGGGTGACTTGAGTCCTTGATGATCCTCACCGCTTTCCTCAGGCACCGCTTCTTATAGATGTCCTGGAGGGAAGGAAGCTCACCTCCAATAATCCTTTCTGCACACCACACTACTCTCTGGAGAGCTTTGCGGTTGTAAGAGGTGCTGTTGCCATACCAGGCGGAGATGCATCCAGTGAGGATGCTCTCAATGGCACAGCGATAGAAGGTCGTGAGGATGCGGTGGCTCATGTCAAATCTTTTCAGTCTTCTGAGAAAGAAGAGGCGCTGCTGTGCCTTCTTCACTGTATTTTCCGTGTGCACTGACCACGTAAGATCCTCTGCCAGATGAACTCAAAGGAAACGGAAGCTGCTCACCCTCTCCACAGCGTCGCCGTTGATGGTGATGGGGGTGTGTATTCCTCTGCTCCTTCTGTGGACTTCCTGAGAGTAATGGATTACAGTAATCCAGTCTTGATGTAATAAATGCATGAACTATTTCAGCATCACTCCTGGAAAGTATGCTTCTAATCTTAGCAATATTCCGAAGGTGGAAAAAGGAAATCCTACAAACCTGATTAACCTGGGATTTGAATGACATGTCCTGGTCAAAGATAACACCAAGGTTCCTTACTTTGTTCTCGGAGATTAATGTAATGCCATTCAGGTCAGGTGATTGACTAAGCAATTTCCTTTTCTGGATTTCTGGTCCAAAGATGAGAACTTCCATCTTGTCTTGATTTAAAGCAAAAAGTTTAGAGTCATCCAATTTTTTATGTCCTCAAGACAAGCCTGTAATCTACCCAACCGATTAGGTTCATCAGGGTTAATGGATAAATATAGCTGAGTATCGTCGGCATAACAGTGGAAGTTTATCCCATGCTGTCTAATGATTTTACCAATTGGGAGCATATATATAGTAAAAAGAAATGGTCCAAGCACTGAACCCTGTGGTACTCCACAAGTAACCCTGGAGTATGAAGACGATTTGTCATGTACATTTACAAAATGAAATCTGTCAGACAGGTAGGATTTAAACCAGCCTAACGCTGTTCCTTTGATCCCTACAACATGTTTAAGTATTTCTAAAAGAACATTGTGATCAACTGTGTCAAAGGCAGCACTGAGATCTAACAAGACTAACGGACACAAGATTCTTATCTGAGGCCATGAGAATATCATTTGTAACTCTCACTAATGCAGTTTCAGTGCTGTGATACTCTCTAAAACCAGACTGAAATTCCTCAAACAGATCATTAGTGTTTAAATGCTCACATACTTGGATGGCCACTATTTTCTCCAGGACTTTGGATAAAAATGGAAGGTTAGATATTGGTCTATAATTCATTTACTGGGGCTCTGTTCTTTAGGTTCTAATTCAGTTTCCATTCAGTTTATATATATATATATATATATATATATATATATATATATATATATATATATATATATATATATATATATATATATATATATATATTTACATACATATATATATATATATATATATATATATGTATATATATATATATATATATATATATATATATATATATATGTATGTATGTATGTGTGTATATATATATATATATATATATAAACTGAAAATACATACATATATATATATAATGCAAGATTTGGTAGACTACACTAAAGAGAAAAGTTAATGATGTGGAACACTGAAAAAACTTTAATTATTTTTTCTGATTATAATCGGTCACTCTTGAGTTTTTCAAGCAGGTTGAACATGAAGATGGTCTCCTACACCTAGCTCCTGCATTAGTTTCTGATAGAAAATAGATGTTGAAACTCTAGGATCATGACAGATCTACGTCACACTGTCACTTAACATTCATGGACTCACCCATCTTGACTTGCGATGGGGAAGATTATTGTTGTAGCGTCCAGGAAACAGCAGAGAATGTCTTGACTAGTAAAATTTAACCGTTAGCATTAGCAACTTCACCACACAGCAGAGCTCTCCAGGCTCGAGTTATTTGTGGAGAGAAAACATACATTTGCAGGGCAAAAGGGGTCAGTGTTAACGTTGCTGTTATCCAACCAAAGGCGAGATTTCCAAATGTTATGAAATAAGAGTTCAAATCCTGTCATCTAAAGCCACCTCCAGCTGACTTCCTGAAACAGACACATCTGAGCTTTTTCCCACCCAAGTATGACTTACAAAGCATTAACTCCTACTAGAAATCACTGCAAATTATTTTGCTAAAAGGAGTCAATCAGACCTATAGCTGTTTTTGGTTCTTTTTTAAAACAAAGGAAAGGTTTCTCTTTACCTTGCTAATGTTTCGTTTGCGTCTGCAAACATCCTCAGAGCTGACGCTGATGGTGGCATCCCTTCCTAAACCTATAGCTGTTTTTGGTGTGATTAAATAGCTAAGATTAGTAACTTTCCTTTCTTTCTGCCATTCCCATACTTTTCTTCCCTTTTCTTCAAAAAGAGAGTAGTGCAGACAGATAATAACACAGTTTGTGTGAAGATTAATGAATCAAAGTCTTGTGACTACGTCTATGTAAATGGGAAAAATCTGCCTTGCTTTGTACAGACAGCCAATTTCCAGGACATCCTTTCAGATGCAGAGCTTCTGGCACTGATGGTTGGCTGTTTGTGTCATGACTTGGACCACCGAGGGACAAACAATGCATTTCAAGCCAAGTAAGTCACAGAAACCCATTGGACAATAAACTGGCAGCAGAACCATTCCTGCCCTCTTTTTCCTCCAGGACCGGCTCTGCTCTGGCCCTACTCTACGGGACGTCGGCTACGCTGGAGCACCATCACTTCAACCACGCAGTTATGATTCTGCAGAGTGAGGTCAGACATTCATAGGATTTACTGTTTTGTCAGTGCTTGCAGGATTTAATTAGAAGTGATAAACAAAATGTAACATGTGTTTGAGGAGTGGAAAACGAAATATACGAAGGCAGTTTGAAACTGATTGAAAGTGTTACAAAAGAAACAGTAGAAGATGATTAGAGTTACTTAGAAACACAACTTTGTGAGAAGTTTATTTATTTAAAATTAACTCAAATGGGTTCTATCAGAAGAAGTATGATATGTGAGTGGACCGAGACTACACATATCTGTAGACACAGTAGTTTGTCTTTTAAAATGGATGATTAAATCTAAGCAGATTGAGCTATACGTGTGCTATGGTTAACAATAACCCTATACATTTATCACAGAGTTGTGCATTAGACTAATATGTATGGCTTTATATTACAAGTGAAGTTTTCCTGTAAACCGTTAAATATTAAAATTATGATTTTTGCCACTACAGCAGTGACTGATGTCTGTCAGAAAAGTGGTGGTATCAGAGTGCAAGAAAAATTCAAATGACCGAAGACTACATTTTCAAATAAAGGTCTGGTTTAGGAAACAGTGTTTACCTGTGGGGTGGCACTGCACACAGACGGCTGACAGGCAGCATTAGTTTCCTCCGGAGGGTTTGTTGTCTCAGGTGCGGCTGAGTTTGGTCACCAACTGCATTCTATATCGATTTCCTTCCCCAGAGGGCAGATAGAGTCCACACATGGCTAATTAAAACAGCTAACGGTAGCTTCATTTGACAGTGAGCGATGACTTTATCAATGCCATGAATTTAAAGGGACATTTTACATTTTGTGTGCACTTGTGCTGCAATGTTGTGTTTTCTTCTGCAGGGCCACAATATCTTTGCAAACCTCAGCTCCAAAGAGTACAGCAACATGATGCAACTACTGAAGCAGGCCATTCTCTCTACAGACCTCACTTTGTACTTTGAGTAAGTCGTCTGTTCGGTACACTGAGAGCTCACCTTGTTTTCATACAAATCCTGTAAATACACTCATGCACCTGTTTTGGAAAACTGCTGGTGAAGGTTCTGTCATCCAGGTCATGGTAATCCACAAGGGTTCAAATGAAGGCAAATGGACTTTGGTTTCTTGAAGACGTTTAGCTTCTCATCCAAAAAGCTTTGTCAATTCTGGCTGGAATATGGGAGAGTCAAGCTTATCAGCTGTAGCTGTCTGTTGTTATTTAACGAGCAGAAACTACTCTGAGTACCCCTCACAAATAAAGTAGAAGACTTTACTTACTTACTTACTACTTTACATTTAATATTAATGCCGTGGACAAGAACATCAAGTTCACCAGGGAAGATGCTCACAACAACCAACTACCCTTCTGGGACTGCTCTGTGCAAATCGAACAAGATCGGAGTTTCAGCATTGAAGTCTACAGGAAACCAACTCACACAGACCAGTATTTGTATTTCGACTCACGTCACCCACTGGAGCAAAAAACGTCAGTCATCAGGACTTTACACCATCGAGCTGAAAACATTCCCACAAAGACTGAAGGAAAGCAAAAGGAAGAGGAACACACAAAAAAAGCTCTCTAAAACTGCAGATACCCTAACTGGGCCTTTGTGAAATCTACAAAGAAGTCTGGAAAAGCATCCAAAGCAGCAACCAGCAAAGAAAAGGACAACAGGCGCAAAGGCAACGTCATCCCGTACTTGGCAGGAGACTCAGAGAAACCTAGAAGAATCTTGTCCAAACTCAACATCTCAGTAAACTTTAACCCAACAACACCCTCAGACAGAAACCGGTCCATCCAAAACACACAACACTCAAACAGAAGCTTAGTAGCGTTTATGCAGTCCAATGTAGTGAGGACTGTCCAGACCTTTACTTTAGAGAAACTAAACAACAATTACAAAAACGCATGGTCCAACACAGTAGAGCCACCTCTTCAGGTCAAGACTCTGCAGTACACCTGAAGGACAGGTGACACACCTTTGAAGATGACAAAGTACACATTCTGGACAGAGAAGATAGATGGTTCGAGAGAGGAGTAAAGGAAGCTATCAATGTTAAACATGATAAACCCACTTTAAATAGGGGAGGGCTTAGATTTCACCTTTCCAGTACCTATCATGCATCTTTGAATCTCATTCCTAAGCAGTTTCAGTCTAGCTCCCACCTTCCCGCTTCTAATCAACACGACTCCCTCTCAATAAAGGCCAATGACTCATTGGTGGTAGAGAGGAGGGGTACTCAGAGTAGTTTCGGCTCATTAAATAACAACAGACAGCTACAGCTTATAAGCTTGACTCTCATTTTCCAGCTAGGATTGACAAAGCTCCTCGGATGAGAAGCAAAATGTCTTCAAGAAACCAAAGATCCATTTGCCTTCATTTGGACCCTTCTGGATGTTTCGGGAAAGATTATCATCAAAGCGTATTACAAAGTCCAGTTGTGTATATGCCTGAATTTCTCTTTTGTTTGAAAGGCGCCGAACCAAGTTCTTTGAGTATGTATTGTCAGGTGAATTCAGCTGGACAGTCGAAGAACACAGAGACGTTCTCAGGTGTCTATGCTACACTCAAAATAGAAATATAAATTCAATCGACGACTAAAAAAATGAAATGAAAAAGAAGAGCTTTCTTGTCTTGAACAGGTCTATGCTGATGACAGCGTGTGATCTGGGAGCCGTCACACGTCCGTGGAAAATATCAAAACAGGTGTGAGTCCTTTGTGGATTTATTATGGGTTCATTCTAATTAAATACATGTTTTAGACATCGGTTAACCCCATGTAAGAAAGGCAAAAAAGTCAAAATCCAATGCAAGACAGAAAAAGTGTTTAGTCTTTGAAATATTGCAGTGGCCAAAAGAAGAGTCCATATGTGTCACAACCTGTCCTGTCTCCCCACTCTGTTCAGTCCTGTGTCTCTCCTGATTGCTCCCACCTGCCTCTCGTCTCCCAATCGCTGTAGATCCCAGCTCCTTGTGTATTTAAACCCTCCCAGTTCTGCATTCCTTGTCAGTTCTTTGTTTTCATGTCCTGTGTGTTCCTCGTTAAAAAGCCTCTAAACGTTCTTGCCTGCCTTCTTTCCTCATTTGGATCCTCACCTCTGCTTCACTCACCTGCACACCTGTGACAATAAGCTTGATTTGAGACAAGTCAAAGATGGAAGAATGAGTTCTTATATTCCTTTAACTGCCTCTGCATAGATCATTGATATGAGCCCCTGTAAGCTTCAAAATTAACTTCATTAAGTTAGTTTTATTTGCTGAGGAGTTGCTGAATCCCAGTTATCTCAGTAATCCACTTAGTTCACTAACCTGCTTACTTTTACTTGTGTGACTTATCAAACCTTAAATAAACACAGCAAAAGGCAAAAATACAGATTCACAAACAACTTCAAAAACTGAAAAAGATGTTGTGACAAAACTTTCTGAAAATTTTTCACACGTTTACAAATGTCTTTGTTTGTCCTTTAATGTGTGCAGGTTGCAGAGCTGGTGACGAGTGAATTCTTTGAGCAAGGTGACAGAGAGAGGTTTGAGCTTAAATTAACCCCAGCAGTGAGTGAAAATCACAAACTTTTTCCAGTCACTCTGAATTTCCATCTTTGTGCTCAGCTCACAGTAAGCTGGAAAGAAATATGCTTTCCAAAAGTCTCTTTCCAGAGTATTTCTTAATCCTATAGCACTATCTGGTGGCTGACAAGCATATCACACAAATAATGTCTCCTTCAGTTTTTTTTAAGATGGGGACTTCATGTTTCTTATTTCTTTATGTTCTTCTGTAGCCGACAAACAGAGTTAAAACATGTTGTATTACAAGTATTACTCTCATGTCATGTTGTGTTCTCATATATTTAGATTTTAGACACTTGTTCGTGAAAAGTTAACCCACTCTGCATCAGCTGAGGTATGCCCTTAAATTGAAGCATGTAAGCGGTAGTCTAACACTATTGGTTAGTTCTGGTTAGTGCTTAATTTCCTATTGTGGAGCAAGAGGCGTCCTTAGCAAAAAATAAAAAAAATTTAAAAAACGACGTATCGCTTACAACGTATCACAGTACATGATGAGACCATCACTTTTACAGATTTCTGAAAAACCGTACATCTTTTCTGAAAGGGAAAACTCCGGAAAGATACTTGAAGTATTTAAGGGACTGACAAAAAGCTCTTATCTCTCTGTAGGCCATCTTTGATCGAAATCGCAAAGATGAACTACCAGCTTTGCAGCTAGAATGGATTGATGGGATTTGTAAACCACTTTATCAGGTTGTTACACCCCTACAGTCTCCTTATATACAATATGAGTTGCAAAACACTAAATTAAAATGATGATTTGAAAAATGTTACATAATCTTCCCTCTTCCCTGATGCACTCAGGCATTGCTGAAGCTCAACAGGAAGTTGCAACCAATGGTGGACGGGATCAACGCCAATCGAGAGAAATGGCAGGAAATGTCTTTGCCCAACCAGCAGACACACAAAGCTTCTGTGTGCAGTGAGAGCCCTGTTCCGAATCCAAACACTGAGTTTGGTCACGATGCAGAAACCACCAAGCCTCGAGACACCACAGAGAAGAAGAGCCATGTTAGAAAGTTTGGCCCAAAGTTGGAATGCAGGGAAGTTTTGAGATGCACAGGAATCAAAGAGGCTGACAGTAACATAACATCTGCAGGAAAAAAGCAAATCATGCTTTGAAGCAAATAAATGTTAAAAAGCACACAAGAATTAAAATATAAGAGTAAAACTGTGATTTTTCTTCTAAGAAAAATACAACCTTACATAGATTTTATGAGCTGCTTCTTCTGCCAGGCATCACTGTGCTGCACTGAGGTGGATTAGATCTGTTTGAGGGTGAGCCTTCCTATTGGTGTCCACACATCTGAAAGAGTTCCATCACTGAAATAAAAAGACAAACAGAGACCAAAGAGGGCCGGTGGGTCGTATTGTAAAAGCTCACCTTTATAAATACCATTGTGACACGTCAGACGGAGCTTGATGGTGCTCCTGAATGCCATGATTTTGCTGCATGGCCTACTTACTATTCAGCTGTTGTGGACACATTTAATAGTAAATTTGTGGAGGTAATTTGCATTTATGCCCAGCATGTAATTCTTGTGTTATTTAATGTTGTAATGCAGACATTTTGCTTAGGTAATGGAGTCCAAACCCTCAATTTTTTTTTTTGGGGGGGGGTGACCTTTAAATGAGCCTACAGGCCAGCCTGCTGTTGTGTTGGTCTTGGTAGTCCAGTGGTTACAATGACTGCCTTTGCACTCCAACCACTGGACAACCAAGTCAGCTACAAAAGAATAGTTGCCTAACTAACTTATCCTGTGCTGGCCATTATGTGCATCTTTGTAGACAGAATGCATGGTTTTTATGGCTGTTTTTTGTCCCCAATGCAAAAGTAATTTGTCAGAATCAGTGGTGGCTCATCCATAGAGGACGCTAGGGCACCGCCCACCAGTCTCACAGGAAGAAGAAGATAGGAATCACACAATATAAAAAAATACATGTAAAGTCAACTAAACCATCTATACATCGTTCAGACTAGGGATGTCTCCATGGAAGTAGTTTTGACATGGGCGGTTGTTTTCCAGTGCAGGGGACACAAGTTAACTGTAGAAAAAGTGGAAGGGGCATGTAAAACTACCCCCCTAAACTATGTCTGTGGATGTCATGGTAATCGGTGTGGTGGTAAACCCCAGTAAAAATGTTGATAATAATTACAGCCTTGTCTTTTAAAAAATGTATTATCTCATTATTAGTGTTTTGTTACTGGACTTCTGGGGAGCCGGTCAGACCCAGACATATTGTGAGGGTTTGCTGGAAATGAAGGAGCTTCAATTCCCACCTCCAACAGAATTTCGAACACATCCCGAGGAAAGTGGGGAACATTAAACAAATTGTTGAGAAGGCTGACCGGAGCTGCGGCTGCAGGGTTGTCGGTGCCTGTCGTGGTGGCAACCCCCGAACCCGCTTCTGGACACCGGTGTTCATGGATGCTGTCAAGCTGAAGAAGGAGTCCTATCGAGCCTTTTTGGCCTGTGCGACTTCAGAGGCAGCTGATGGGTACCGGCAGTTCAAGTGGAATGTGGCTCGGGTGGTCGCGGAGGCAAAAACCTGGGCATGGGAGGAGTTTGGTGAGACCATGGATGTTATGGATTGGTGGGCGGAATACTTTGAAGGCCTCCTCAATCCCACCGACATGTCTTCCAGTGAGGAACCAGAGTCTGGGGACTTTGAGTTGGACTCTCCAATCTCTGGGGCAGAGGTCACTGATGTGGTCAAAAACTCCTCAGTGACAAGGCTCCGAGGGTGGATGAGATCCACTCGGAGTGGAACACTGGACCAGCTCCATACCCTTAGTGTCATGGTGAGTGTTGGTTTGGGACCCATATGCAGGTGAGTGAAGCTCAGAGGCAGCAAATACCTTAATCCATTTACTGTAGGGACTTGAGGGTGTAGACACACCAGGAACCGAAGCATGTTGACAAGGGAAGACGTAAGACGAGGTTAACAGACGAACCGACTAAAGACACAGAACTGACAGGGCTTAAAGACACAGAAGCAGGTAATCCGGTTAAAGAGCGGGTCAATTGAGCCTCGGAGTCCTTCTCCACCCACGTATCAATTTTAAAAAATGCAACTTAGTAGGCGTTGCCTGGAGGACCGAGAGGGCGGAGCCGCGGCAGTGACGAAGACGATGGCTAACTAGACGAAGCTAGCTCCCTTCACTCTGAGCAGTTATTAGAAGTGGAGGACGTTTCTCCCCCTCCTTACACAGACACTCGAGAAGAAAGGGACCAAGTCTATTTGGAGGAGACAAGCGGACCTGAGTCTTATTGTTTTGAGCTTGTGAGTTGCCTGAAACTCCCAGAACCGACCCAACAGAATCACCTCTGAAAGGTAAGTAGCCATTAGCCATAGCATTGGATTAGCTGCAGGGTTTGTCTCCACGGCCCTAAAAAGCTAGTATTCAGCATGTTTTAGAGGTTTATCTGCTTCAGCACACCTGGTTTTAATCAGCAACAAATAGCTGAGCTGCTTAACAGCTAATCTAACCTGTTAAAGCAGGAAAATCCACTGAAACATGCTGGATAGCAGCTCTCCGGTAGCTCTGGGCTCAAGTTACAGTCTGCTGCATATAAAGTTATGAAAATACCCCATGAGAAAATTATTCTGTAATGTGTTCAGCCCACTAAAACTGCCCTGATTTCTTTATTTATTTACTGATAACAGCTGCTCTCTTGGTTCTAGGTCCTCTGGTGTCTGCAGCTGGTCTCCTCTGCTGGTGTCATCAGGATCAGGAACTTTCAGAAGAACGTGCCTTTCAATGACTCTTTCCCCCTTATTTGTTATATTAATTAAATAAATCTCAATTTATATATTTCCTGTTTTTGTTCATGTCCATAAATACTTAAACATGCTTGAAATTAGAACGAGCTTTTAACAGTGAGGTGCTAGTTTAATTAATCACAATAGAGAGCTAGTTAAACATGCAACAAAAATGTGATATTCAATGTAATTTATAAATATCCATTAAAATATCAAAACGAATCTAAATGAGATATTTGGCAGCACAAAAAACTTGTCAAACACAATATTTATTATAATAATTGTAGGCAGACAGGAGACAGAGCTGATGGAGGTTCTCAGTCATCGAAGGATGGCTGAAGGCTTTCCAGGAACAGGAGATGTGGTGTGGTCTCTTCTCTCTCTATTCAGCAGGATGAGCTGATAGGTTACAGGTGTGTGAGGACATCCTCATGCTGTCATAACCAGATGACAGGGGTTATCAGGTGATCAGCCAGGCTAATGAGATGCAGAAAGAAAACAAATTCAGGACAGTGTACAATATGTGGTGTTGCTCACCTTATGTGCTCTTATAGAATATTAATGTGTGCATGCCTCATGGTGTAGAGTCCATATTTTGCTGAGTGTCCTGCAATAATGCAGGTTATTAGTTAATTTACTTTTGATAGCAAAAACAAAATATTTAATGTAAAAGTTATTTTCCAGGAGAATCAGCTCACACGTCACCACCAAGTGTCACAGGGGCAGAATCAGTAGCCTCCGTCATGATGTAATCACATACTTATTTAATTGTTAATATCTTAAAAATTCTGAAATGTTTTAATTTTTTTTTAACCTTGAACAGTTCACTGAGCTTGCACTGTCACTGAGGTGGAAGCTGGAATCAACAGCAGACACCTCACATCTTGGTCTTTTCAGGGGGTCTGGACGCTCTGGGACCTTCTGGAAGATGAATTTTCATCATGGTCCCTGTGGGTCACCAGACACACTGCGGCTGTGAACTCCATTCTGGCTGGCTATGTAAAAACAAAGAAGCAGCACATTTATAAATGTTTAAAAGAGCATAAAATCACGTGTAAAAATAATCTGTAAAACAAATTAAAACTAGAAGGTGATAATAAAATGTTTACATTGAAGATTATTAAAAATAATTCACCTTTGCTACAGGGAAGGTTTCACATCAGCCTGGACAAGTGCATTGTTGCAGCTAAATCAGTCTGACAGCCAGTGTCTTGGGTAGATTTAGCCTGAAAAAAAATAGAAGCACATTGTTGTTGGGAGTTTATAAAGTCAGATAATATACAAAAGAATCTCCTATATAGGCGCTTTATAACATTCCTAGTGTGTGATCATTATAACGTAAAAGTCAGTCACATATGATGTGGAGAGCCTGAAATGTGACCTCCTGAACAGAATTCCTTACAGAACCTGTTCACAAGCTGGATTTCACGCTGTAATGCTGTCTGTCAAGTGCTGCGTCAGTTAGAGCCACTGTTGCAGAATTGCCGACTGACTAGCTAAAGGAAGTGAACCACGTCTCTCAGACTTTGCATTTAGGTAGGGAATTGTCTTTAGAAGATGTTAAAACGTTTATTTAGCTGACTCACCTCAGACTGGAGCCCGCCGTGGTGGGGGAGCAGAGTCGGTGGGCTGCATCTAAATCGCGGAAGAGCCACGGTGGGCAGCCTCCCTCTTCAAACGGAGGTGTGCAGAATCGCGGGTAAAATGCCCACAGAGTCACCGCAAGCATACTACACTACACCTACTCACCAATACTAAGACGATATGGAACACTAAACCCGAAATACTTTCCCAATTACACTAACAGCCAAACACTAACTAAACTACAATATCCAACAGCCAAATCTAACACTAAATAAGTATTTATAACACTAAAAGATATGCTAAAGACTAGGATATGCTAATGCTATATGCTAATGCTGAACTACCGCTGACCTCCTATGCTCGCTTGCAAATCCAACTCCCAACTCGCCACAGGGCGTGGCCGAGACTCTCGTTGCTTTTATAACTTTGGCACGGAGCTGCTACGTAGTACTCTACTGGTTTACGTAGTACTTTACTCTTTAGCCATTGGCTAAAATTTATTCAAAATGACTCAAATTCTATGTTTTCAGCTGAAGGTGGCGCATTACTGTGGTTTTTAGACAGAATTTTTAATTTTTAAAGAAAATGCACCAAAATGCTAAAATAAAGAATGCACACATTTAAAACACTATTAGACACTCATTTATACAGTTCATCAGCAAAAAAAAGTTAATTTAGATGTTACTTGCTCTTTAACAAGAGGCAAGAGCAACCAATAAACACAACAAGGGAAGACGAGAGGCAACCAAGGCTGGGAAGCAGAACGTGACACTTAGGGAGATCTTGGAGGGTGTGTGGGAGCTTGCCCAACCTGTCTACAAGTGTTTTGTGGATTTGGAGAAGACTTTCGAGGGGTACCAGGCCCTTTGATACGGGCTTTTAGGCCCCTGTTTGACTGGTGTCAGAGCTTGGTCCGCATTGCCGGCAGTAAAGCCTGATTCATGCTTCTCTGACTGCGTCAGTGCGGAGACACGCAACGCCATTATCCATCCTTGCGGGCCTGCTGGAGAGCTCCGCAAGGACGGATGGAGTCGAGCTCTCTTTTCTAAACATCCGTCCGTCGAGACAACAACGCAAGTTTGTGATTGGTCAGGACGCCGCTGTCGTCTACACCGCCGCCACTGCGCCCTCAAAAACATAAAGAGAGCTGAGGATAACTAGCAGCAGACACGGATCATCTTGAAGAATACCTTGTGAAAAAACTCTCATATATGAACGTTTAATTCTCCGTGACTGGAGGAGTGAAAAGATGCGCAGCAAGCGTTTTATTAGTGTGCGGAAACGACAGGAAACGTGGGTTTAGAGGTGGCGAGCACATGAAGAGGTGGAGGAGAATGAGAGACAAATTTGTCCGTGTTAAAAAGTCTCTTATATATACAAAAAACACAATATAAACACACTATCTTGGACCGATACATGACAGGATACCACAGAACAGCGCTACACCCTCTGCTGTCCTGGCGAGGAATTGCTTTGCAACACTCCCCAGGATACGGAGAAGTCTGAGAGCAAAATGTCTCTGTCCGTGCGTGCATGTCTCTCCCTTTTGGAGCTGACGGAGAAGCATGAATCAGGCTTTAGTCGGGCTCATTTCCGGTGAGAATTGGACTCCGCCAAGTGTGAAGCGGCTGGGATGAGAATCAGCTCCTCTAAATCCAAGACAATAGTCTTAAGTCGGAAAAGGGTAGAATGCCTTTTTTGAGTCAGGGATGAGGTCCTGCCTCAAGTGGAGGAGTTTGTCTTGTTCAGGTATGAGGGAAAGCTAGAGCGTGAGCTCAACAAGCAGATTGGTGCTGCATCTGCAGTGATGTGGACGTTGTACCGATCTGCCGTGGTAAAAGGAGAGCTGAGCCAGAAGGCAAAACTCTCGATTTACAGATCGATCTGCGTTCCTACCCTCACCTATAGTCACGAGCTTTGGGTAGTGACCGAAAGAATGAGATCGCAGATACAAGCGATACAAATAAGTTTCCTCTGCAGGGTGGCTGGGCTCTCCCTTAGAGATAGGGTGAGAAGCTTGGTCATCTTGGGCTCAGAGTAGACCCGCTGATCCTCCACATCGAGAGGAGTCAGTTGAGGTGAGACAAAAATTTACTTTAGAAAAAGTGTGTGTGTGTGTGGAAAGGGGGTGGATGTCACGGTAACTGGTGTAGTGGTAAACCCCAGTAAAAATGTTGACAATAATAATAACAGTCTTGTTTTTAAAAATAAATATTATCTCAGTGGATTACCGTAGGTGTGGTGACCCTTACTAGCCGCCGTCTCATCTGCTGAAGTTGCCGCACTTGCACACTTTGTAGTTTACAACCAAAACTTTCTTTAAGCTGAAGCTGAAATAATGGTTGAAGGAGGAGATGGCAGCACTCAGGACATGCATCAGCCCTCAAAGAAGACAAAGTCGGCAGGAGGGGCATATTTAGGATATTTTAAGAATGCAGAAGGACAGTTGATAGAAGGCAGCTACCCTGTTTGCAGCAAGGCAAGTTAACGTTAGCGTTTCAGCTGAAATTCATGGTGTAAGGACTTTGGGTTGAGGGAGAATGGAGGGTTGAAGTTGCCCTATAGTGCAGCCGCAGTGTCCACTGCCATCATATAAACAGTGTTGTGGGCACCCCTATATTGAAATTACGCTAGGCATTACGGGGCTCCCAGGGGGCAGATAAGGTCGCCAGTGCAGTGGTTTGACTCTTTCCACATTATTATGAATTTAACATTGATTACTGCCCGATGACATGTTCCCAAATCTAAGCTCATTGGAAGGACACAAACCGAGGACAACTAGCCTGATATAGAGGGTTTATTTAGTTGTTCCAAAAATCTAACATGTTTCTGTTGCTATAATTAGTACATGTAATACCCTCAAAACAACCAACACAGTCATCATGAAATAATAAACAGGAGTGGGAGATATCGATTTTTTATTTGTCCCACTGAGGGAAATGGCTTGGGTGCCCCTGATCTATAGGTGTTTATCTACTGGACAGAGAAGATAGATGGTTTGAGAGAAGAGTAAAAGAAAAAGGAACACCATTTATTGGTTAGAGTAGCCAACAACTGTACTCAAGTAAGAGCAGCTGAGTAAATAATATCACAAGTAAAAAAGTGTATTTTCCATGATGTGGCCCCTTTAAGTTTCTCCAAATGAAGACAACTGAAAGTTGATTTATTAATTAATTAATTTATTTAATTGAGTTTCTAAACTGATTGTAGCACATAGCTTGATTGGTTTGTACACTGCAAAATGAACTGTTGTATTTACTTGAGTAAGTTATGTCAACTGGTTCCACTAAACTTAGAAGCATAAGATGAAGATTAAAGTACATCTTCTTTTCATCCTTTAACTTGGTTTCTTTTTCATTTTGAAATTGTATTTTCTGTCACGTTGATTTTAATGCTCTTGCTATTGGAAAGCACATTGAATTGTGTCTGTGTATGAAATGTGCCTTGCCTAGATGTCACCAGTGTCCGTGTTCCATATTCAACCTTTAAGGGGAGCCAGTTGACATAAATGTAAGAACTTCTGCTCAACATTTCATTTCTTGGAGTTGTTACGGCTGGAGCCTTTTTGTGTTGTGATTTCATTTTTTTGTGCATTTTATGTTGCATCTGAGGAGCCTGCCTGCAGACTATGTTGGCTCACCCTTGCTCCTCCCTGCACCAGCTGAGCTGGGTTTTCATCAGCCGCAAATTGTTTAAAGGACCAGCTGGAGCTCCTCACCAAGGGGGACAATAGTGCAGAGCTGCCTTTCCTCTGGTCTGTTGTCTCCCACTTAGAACTTCGATATTGTGCTCTTACTGTTTGAACCTGTTTTGGTAAAAGTGGATTTAGATCCGTGGTGGTTAAAAGAATAATAGTCATCTTTTCTGAATTAAGAGAAATTAAATAAAACCTTTGTTAATTTTCCTTTGTGTCACGCGTCCTCCATGTTACCCCAGGCCCCCTAGACACCTGGTTGTAACATATGGGGGCTCGTCCGGGATCATTAAGTACCCTTAAACTGAGGTTGGATGCGTGATCATTTGTGTGTATCAGTGTTTTACCAGTTATGGCTACTTTTGATTTAGCGCAGTTTGTGGAGGCCCCATCCCGTGGACTGATTGGTGCCTGTCGCAAGCGGGATCTGCTGGACGTGGCGGATCACTTTGGATTTCAGGTGGACAGCTCAATGTTAAAGGTGGAGCTGCAGGAGGTGGTAATCAGTGGCTTGGAGGACTTGGGCCTGCTTACTCGGCAACAGGCTGCCTCGCCTGCGGAGGCCCGTGTACATGCTGAACCTCCCCTGGCGACCCCGCCCCCTGTCAGCCCTGCAGCACCTGATGACAGAGACAGACTGGTTACAGCTGCTGGAGACGTGGACCCGGCTGACTCTGATGAGGACGTGACTCCAGCCGAATTCAGGCTGAGGATTGAGCAACTCCGTTTGGACGCTGAGGACAGAGCCCAGCGCAGACAGCTGGAGTTTGAGATGAGAAAGCTGGAACTGGAAGCTGATACAAAATTGCGGCTCCGCAAACTTGAACTTGAACACGAGGCTGTGAAGGCTGAGAAAGAGACATCTCCGGTGAGTTCCCCACCGCAAGACTCTTTTAATATCAGTAACTGCATGGCGTTGATGCCTGTTTTCAGGGAATCTGAGGTTGACTGCTACTTCTCTGCGTTTGAACGCATCGCAACGGCGCTTAATTGGCCGCGGGATGTGTGGCCTCTTCTGCTGCAGTGCAGATTCACAGGTAAAGCCTCCGAGGTTGTAGCCGCTCTCTCTGTCTCGGATAGCAATAATTATGACACCGTTAAAACTGCAGTTTTACAGGCATATGAGTTGGTGCCAGAAGCCTATCGCCAGAAATTCAGACTTTCCAGGAAAAACTCTGCACAGACACACATAGAGTTTGCTCGAGTAAAAACGGTTCTATTCGATAAATGGTGTAATTCCTCCAAGGTAAAAGACTTTGCTACTTTGCGTGAGCTCCTGCTCCTTGAGGAATTTAAACGCTGCATCCCTGATAAAGTGGTTCAGTATGTAAACGAGCAGAAGGTGACGTCATTGTCTGCTGCAGCGCAGCTCGCGGATGAGTTTGTGTTAACTCACAGGGTGAACTTTGATCCCAACAGAAGACCCTCACCTGGGCCGCCGGCTGAGGCAGACATAACGAATGTCGTTCCTGAACCTGCTCTGTGTTTTTATTGTCACAAGCCTGGTCATGTCATAAAGGACTGTCCCATTCTCCAGGCCAAGAATGTAAGACAAGAACAGCCTGACAATGTTGAGGTTTTTACCTGTTCAGCCCATGTTACTGTTGGGGAACGGGATGTGGGAGCCTGTTTTAAGCCATTTGTATTTTCTGGATTTGTTTCATTGTCGGCTGATGATAGGCCTGTACCGATAAAAATCCTGAGGGACACTGGGGCATCTCATTCTCTCATTCTGAGTTCGGCATTACCCTTTTCTGGAAGAAGTGCTTGTGGTTTTAAAGTAGTTGTTAAAGGGATTGCGCCCCCGTCCTTTCAGAGGCCTGTCCATCGTGTGTTTTTAACATCTGATCTCGTCACAGGATATTTTAACATTGCTGTCTGTCGCTCCCTACCAGTGGATGGCGTCGTTCTCCTGTTGGGAAATGACATCGCCGGGGACTTGGTGGTTCCACCTGCCTGGTCAAATCCTCAAGCTA